ATTAGCGAATAGCCAAGCATAAAATTAGTTGATTTAAATGAATTTTAGATAAAACTTAATTTATTAAATTTTAATTGGCAATAGAGCTTAGGTGCGTCAGAATACCCGGCCATCAGTTACTATTATCCGCAGTAAATTCCAACCCTACCGGGTCGGGTTTAAACAAACCCGACCCGTCCCGTCCCGTTCCGTACCCTAGTTATAATTATCGACTATTAGGACTTACTGATGTTTTGATTATATAGATAAAATCTAAATAATCATTTTTCTTGTTAGCTTTAGTATCAGCATGTAGGTAGTTAGGCAAATTATGTGATTTCTAATTTATTTTATATTTGTTAGAATTAACAACAAAAAGAACAATTAAACATTATGGCAATTTTATAGGAATACTTTGTGCCCAATTAAATAAGTTATTAGGATCATATTTCCTTTCAATTTCAACCAATCTAGGAAAATGATGGCCATAATATCTAGTTTCCCAATTTTGTAAGCCTCTATCAATATAATTTTGATAGCTAAAATAAATAGTATATTTTGCCTGAAACTCTTGACTAAATTGCAAATGTTTTTCTAAGCATTTATCTTGAACTTCTTTGTTATGACCTTCTAAATGCATTGCCATTTGTAATATATAAAGAGAGTCCCTGTGCATAAAGGCAGAACTATTTACCGAAAATTTATTTATAGCACCACCCATTAAATAGAATAATGCTTTCGTAGTACATTCAATATTATTAATAAAGTTCCTTAAAAATTTCAGGCCTTCTCGAGAAAGACCTGGTGGCGCGATAACATAAGATGTTGATTTAAAAGGTTGGCGTTCAAATTTAGGAGATTCTTCAATAGCTTCCCCCCAAGACAATTCTACAAAGTTTGCAAAAGCGGGTTCTGTTAATTCAATTAATTCATTGACTGCACTTTTTGCCTCTTCTGCAGATCCTAAAAATACACCATAAAATGTGCTAATATATAATCTATCATTTTCAGATAATATTTTTAGGTCGGGAGTTAATTTATCACTAAGATTTTTAGCCACTTTTGCAATTGACATGAATAACAAATCGACTTGTTCAGAAGCGCAAGAGATATTAATTGTAGTAACTATTGGTGGAATAGGATAAATTTTAAAGGTAAAAGAGGTTATTATACCGTAGCCAGCATTACCAGCACCTCGAAGCGCAAAAAATAGATCAGAATGATGTGTGGAGTTGATAGTAGATAAAAAAGAACCATTCGCTGTAACCATTTCGGCACTAATAATATTGTCGGAAGACATTCCGTACTTTCTCGAAACGAAACCGTAACCCTAATTGGTCAATAAATCAATAACGATAAATTAGTTAAAATAAACCATTTTATAAGTTGTATATAATACTTACACCACCAGTAGCATGACCACCAATACCAACTAAAAGGCAGGTTCCCGCTGGAAATAAAAATCCAGCTTGATTTAATTTTCTATAAATATGAATTAATCTATTTCCAGCACCGATAATAGCGGTATTAGTTTCTTTATCAATAGAAACTTGATTAAATTCTTTGACATCAATCACCATAACACCATTTCTTCCACCATTT